TTCCAAAACTGCTACATAGATTCAATGCAATCCCAATTGAAATTCCAACAGCATACTTCATGGACCTTGAGAAAACAATCCAAAAATTCATTTGGAACAAGAAGAGACCCAGAGTAGCAAAAGTAATTCTGGGCAACAGAGACATGGCAGGGGTTATCACAACCCCCAACTTGAAATTATATTACAAAGCACTGTGAAAAGAAAGATTGAAGAGGATAACAGCAAATGGAAAGACATCCCTTGCTCCTGGGTAGGAAGAATCAACATAGGAAAAGAGCCATATTTCCAAAACTGCTATATAGATTCAATGCAATCCCAATTGAAATCCCAGCAGCATACATCACAGACCTGGAGAAAACAATTCAAAAATTCATTTGGAACAAGAAGAGACCTAGAATAGCAAAAGCAATTCTAGCCAACAGAGACATGGCAGGGGGTATCATAACCCCCAATTTGAAACTATACTACAAAGTCACTGTGATAAAAACAGCATGGTGCTGGCAAAGAAAAGGACCTGAGGACCAGTGGAACAAATTAGAAGATGCACAAACAACTCCACACAGACTCAGCCACCTCATTTTGACAAAGGAGCCAAACATCCTCACTGGAGGAAAAATAGCCTCTTTAATAAATGGTGCTGGAAAAATTGGGTTTCAACTTGCCAGAGATTAAAACTAGACCTATATCTCTCACCATGCACTCAACTAAAATAAAAATGGATTAAAGTTCTAAATATTAAGACATAAATGTTGAACTGGCTGGAACAGAGGTTAGGTAGAACTCTTGAAGACATTGGTGTAGGAAAGGATTTTATGAATAAAACCTCAGTTGCTATGAACTAGCACAATCAACAAGTGGGATCTCTTCTTATTAAAAAGCTTCTGCACAGCAAGAGAAACCACCAACATTGTGAAGAGACAACCCGCAATGTGGGAAAAAATTTTCACCTGCTGTCCCTCAGATAAAGGTCTACTATCTAGAATATATAAAGAACTTGAAAAAATCAGACTTCCCAAATTTAAAGACCCAATCCAAAAATGGGCATCTGAAATGAACGGACATTTCTCAGACAAAGAAGTAGAAATACAAAATAAACGTATGAAAAAATGTTCAACATCACTGGTCATTCAAGAGATGCAGATGAAAACAATGCTGAGATTTCACCTTGCCCCAGAAAGAATGACTGCTATCAAGAAACCAACCAATAACAAATGCTGGCAGGGCTTTGGGGAAAGAGGAGCCCTACTCTACTGCTTGGTGGGAGGGTAGGCTGGTGCAACCACTGTGGAAATCAGTATGGCGATACCTCAAAGAACTAGGACTGGAAGTCCCATTTGACCCAGCTATTCCCCTGCTGGGTATCTTCCCCCCAAAATTAAAAGAATCATACCACAGTGATATATATGCACCCATATTCATAGCAGCACAGTTTGTAATAGCTAAAACT